CCAGCCGTAGTCCCATCTCTAAACAGCCCTAACCCTATCGGCGAGCCATCGCCATCCCCCTACTCTCCTGCATCCTTGAGCAGCCCCGCCCTACCCGTCGTTCCTCCACCTCTGACCCGCCCGTTGAGATCCCCGTTGAGGACAACAATCATGAACGATATCGTTTTTCTCTCGACTCAGTATTTTCTGTTAATCTCACTTTGTTAGTTAATTGCATGAGTTTATCACCTCTGAACTCTTATCTAATATTCATTGCTTAGATTATAATTATGAGTTGAGAGCAACTGAACATGTGACTATTGAATTTTGATATTGATTGTAGAGCTTGTGCAATGATAACGAATATTGCGATTATATTGTTTCAGATTGGAACTGTTCATGATTGTTGATGCAAATCTGGTTAAAATCCATTTGTCACATAAATTGTTTTAAATTAATTTCCTGTCGAAGATCATGAATTTTGGCGAAATGGTGTGTTGTTCAAATTAAATTGTTGATTCTGATAGACCCCCTCCCTCGTTTCGCATCAAAAATTTCTAATTTTGTCCAAAATAGTCCATTGTTATAGTCCATGATTTTTAGCAAAACAACAAAAATAGGTTTATAGTCCACAGAAATTTCGAAACTATTGATTATGTATACAATATTCTATCTCCAATGAAAATTTGTGATTTCAAACTACACAAGATATTTTATAAAGGACGATAACATGTGATGTGGTTAAAAATATCATAAAATATGAGTTATCAGCCACAAAAATCCGGATTTTTTTATTACACCAAAATATTTTATGTAAGAAACAACTTCTAACTAATAAAAAATGATCAAAATCATGGATCATAATCCATAGCTGTGTTTAAAAAATCTGTTATATAACCTGTTATAACCCGTTTTGTAACTATACACTATACAGTGCCCTCTTGTTAAGTAACACACATTTAACCCTGAAATTATTTAACCCAAAAAAAACACGATATATCGCGTTAAATGTGTGTTACATTGTATAACCAGTTAATATGGATTTTTTAGGTTAAATTGCATCTTTAATTAGGACGCGTTGATGCATCTCCATCATCCAAATAATTTAAACCCTACCATTTATATTCCTGATCACCATATTCTCTTCCTACGAATAAGCGATCTTTTCGTCTCCTCCAACTGAAACATTAGCTTTTTGCCTACTCTAAAACTCCCCTGCCTAAAGGCGGCTCTTGTGACTCCAGTGAGATAAATTTGTTATTTCTCAGTTATGTATTGGGCATCTCAGTTTGTATTATTTTTGTTATTTTCAACATTGGTCCATAGAATTTCAAAAATGTTTGAATACGCATAAAATATTCTATCCTGGGTAAAATTTTAAGATTGGGTTGAAAGTGACCAAAATAATTGATTATACTCCATAGAAATTGGAAATTTCTGAGTAGGCATACGATTTTTTGGTTGAAAACAACTAAAATCATGCATTATTTTGCATAGAAATTTAGAAATTTCGGAGTACTCATAAATTATTCTATCTGAGAAGATAATTTATGATTTTAACGAAAACGACCAAAATCATGTGTTACAACCCGTAAATGTTCTTGAAATTCTGAGTTTGCATATAATATCTTATACTGGACGATAACTTGTGCTTTCGTCAAAAACAACCAAAAGCATGGGTTATAGTCTATAAAAATTTGGTAATTTTTTAGTATGCAAAAAATATTTAATGCGGAAAGACAACTTGTGATTTTATTGAAAATGACCAAAATCATGCTTTATAATCAATAAAAATTCAAAAATATTGGACAACGCATAAAATGTTATACGTGGAAGGGCAACTTGTGATTTGGTCAAAACCAACCAAAATCATGGTTTATAGTCCATAAAAATAGGAATTTGTTATTATGCACACAATATTCTATATGTGGTGGAAACTTGTGACTTGCTTAAAAACAACAAAATCATGGGTTATAGTTCTTAGAAATTCATAAATTACTGAGCACACAAGTTTTTACGCAGGACAACACATTGTGATTTGATCGGAAACGACAAAAATAATAAGTTATAGTCCATGATAATTCAAAGAGTTATAGTCCACAGAAATTTGAAAACTTGAGTACACATAAAATATTCTATCTCGAACGAAAAATTATGATCTAGTCGAAAACAATCAACATCATGAGTTATAATACATAGAATTTAGAAATTTCGGAGTGCACAAAATATTCTATGCGGGGCCACAATTTATGATTTTCTAGAAAAAAGACAATTTCATGTGTTATAGTTCAAGTCCTGGACTACGCATAAGATATTTTTTAAGGGACAATAACTTATAATTTGTCGAAGACAACCAAAATCATGGGTTATAGTATACTTATTTTTAAAATTTTAAGTACGCATAAAATATTTTATGCGAGATTATACTTTAAGATAAAGAAGAAAATTTTAAAATCATGAGTTTTAGTCTACAAAAATTCGAAGATGTTAGAGTACGATTCTACGCGGGATGACAAATAAACTGGTCGGTAACAAATAAATCATGGGTTCTAGTCCAAGCAATGTTTTAAAAATAGACCAATTTTATTGATTTATCACCGATATACAGGGTTTGGGCCATTGCCAAAACGATTTTTACAAAAAGTTATCGCATATCATTTTTGACCGATTTGTCCTGATATATCGGTGTGAATCCGATAAAGCGGCTGATATCTCGTAGGTCAAAATCACCCGATTTTCTATAATTTACATTCTAAGTGAACCGGCTCGAGTTTGGAGGCAAAAACCCTCCTTTTTCCATACTTGACCCGCATCCACTAAACAAAAACCATGTTGTCTTATTCTATTTCATATATGCTCGTTGTGTAATCCTAATTCTCTCTGCTTCCACTGTGCTCTCCCACAAATCACTCGCAAATTTCTCACTTGAATGCCTCTTTTGACGACCACTCTCGAAGACCCTCTCGATGTTGCATTAAATGTAGTTAGATTATATTTTAGGACATTATATTATATACGCTCACCATCCAATATGACACTCCGATTTTTACTACTTATTCTCGATATATCCCCGATAACTGGGATCCGATATGAATTTTGGTCGTCTGATATATTTCTAATAACCGATATTTAAAACATTGACTCCAAGGTAATTCGGAAAACAACCAAAATCATGGGTTATTCCACAAACATTCAGAAAAGTTGGTGTATGCATAAAGTACTCTACATTAGATAACTTGTGATTAGGGCGAAAACATGGTAATTCCAAAAACCGCTAAAATCATGGATTAGTCCACGAAAAACTTATGAGCACATATAAAATATTCTATCTAGGATGAAAATTTATGATTGGTCGAAAATGAAAATAAAAATCACTGGTTCTTAGCCAAAGAATATTGGATTTCATAGTACACACTTCTATGTAGAAAGAAAATTTCTGATTTTGTAAAAAAGAGCCAAAATCATGCGTTAGTTCATGGTATTTCCATAAACAACCAAAATCATGGATTATAGGCGACATAAATTTTGAAACTTTTGAGTATGCATAAAATATTCTATCTCGGAAACAAATTTGTGATTTCATCGAAAACAGCAAGAATCAATGTTATAGTCCACAAAGTTCTTGAATTTCAAACTGCACATAAGATATTTTATACGAGACGATAACTTGTAATGTGGTCAAACAACAAAAATAATTGGTTATAGTCCATAGAAATTCAAAAAGTTTTAAGTAACCTAAAATATTTTAAGCAAGGCGACAACTTGTGATATGATCAAAAACGATCAAAATCATGGGTTACACACAGAAGTTCAGAAACGCTTCCATGAGGTTGATTTTGGTTTTTCATTAACATGTTATGAAAACTAAAATTTATATAACATTTTTATGTTCATAAAGTAGACTATAAATTGGAAAACTGCTCGTTTTGAAGTAAATACCCAAATACTCTTTTGAATTCAAGCTTCTGAACCAGCTATGGTTGAAACGATCCAGACTCGCATCTAATGAGAGGAAGGATACATGAAGTATAAGCACTGTTATAAATAGCGGTAAATAGCCCCGTAATAGCGGCGCTAATAGCGTTAGCGGTCCCTTCCTACGACGCTATCGCCCACTATGCTATCTCACAATAGCGGTGACATATTACGGAATATGTCTGTTCGTAAAAACGGCCAATAGTGTGTCATAACGGTAAATAGTGAACGATTGCATTCGAAATTTGCTTTTAGACTACTATTTAAAAGCGGTTTGAGGCTTATTTTTTTAAAATTCAACTCAATCCTTGACCATTGCATTCCACCGTCTCCTGTGATTTTCAGCATACTCCCGCCACCTCTCATAGCCTCTGACACCTACCTTGATACTTCCTCTCACCTCCTTCACCGTGAGCTCTTCTTAGGCCAGTCTTGTCACCGCTAAGCTCTTCTTCTCGAAGACGACGACTTTTGGACTCTTCCAGTCATCTTCGATATTACGTGATGGTTACATGTCTATTTCATGTTTAGGATATCTTTATACCATCTAATATGTACTTTTAGATTTCTTAGATTTTTCTTTAATTTTTTTAGTATTATACATATCTAAATTAGACCGCTATTTGACTTTGCGCTTTTTACCGTTATTTTGCCTAATAGCCCGAAATAGCCTTAGCGATGCCTCACCGCTGCGCGACGCTATCCGCTATCGATAACATTGAGTATAAGATATACGTCAAAGAAGTGTATGGCAAATATTTTAAACTAAAACATGCATTATATAATTGAGTAAAAGTCTGAATAAATGTGTGCAATATTGTCCAATAAGTGTTGGTGTCGGCACATGTTGCACACAGATACGGGAGCCCAGAATAGGCGTTAGGGTACTTAGTCCACCATAAAAGCTTTAATCCTCTTACTCCTGCCTGTGCATGCTCTAGGAACCAATAAATGTGATTTTTAGTATTTTATCAAACTTCTTGGTGCCATAGACAGAAAAAGCAAAGGAGCTTAAGATTTTCGAGTTTTAGAGTCATGGAACTGACCTTTACAAAGAAGTTCATGGAGCAGGTCTTTGAGCTCAGGATCAAGCTCTTCAGGCATATATAGTGGGTTTTACTATCTGAAATACCGAATGTTGCAAGAACAACCTAAGATGGCACAATAAAAAATATAAAATAATAATGATATAAAACAAAGGGAACTACCTTTTCATAAGTATCTTGCAGGCTGCCCCGATACATGGGCAATTACCAAGTATCATACAATATAATGTAATGCCAAGAACTCATGCATCCGCAGCTTTACAATTATAGGTAGAACCTGTTCAAGAGATTTTTATCATAAGAAACAACAATGAAATGGCATGCATAAATGTGATTAGATCTCTGAAAACTTAATTTGATAAGTGAAAGATTTAGGTTACCTAAACAACATTCAGGGGGGAAAAACAGGGGTTCTTGGAGACCCCCAGACCTCTTCACTGCAGTCCTGCATGAGAGATAAAAAATGGGAGGCTTAGCTGCCGTCAATCTTATAATAACACAACAACAAAAACAAAGAAGCACTTAAGGTAACTCAGTTTCTCCATTGCACTTAACTAAGATCATCTTCCATCCTAAATTATAGCCAACCACCATTTAACTTCTTAATCTACCTTCCTTACGTATAACCTAGTCCTTGCTGCTCCATTAATTCTTTAATCTAACTCATTAGGCATTACTTAGAATAAAAGGCAATAAAAATATCTACAAATCAAGAAAGGTTACTGCATAGTGCTGCAGGGAGTTTGGAATATATTGGGTTATAGTCCAATGCCAATAAGAAGGATCACTGAGGAAGTAAGAAGACGAATTACTTCAAGAACTTGGCTAACACCGAAACAAATCCTAACAGAGTCACTTCTTAGCACCAAAAGGTTTTCGGGTTTACTATCCCCATGTACAATGCCCTGCAACCAGGGGAAGAAAGTGTCAGTGCTGATCAAAAGTGCATGAACACCCCTTTTTAGTTAGTCTGAAAGTCTAAAAGTGCTAAAACTACAGAGCTACATGATTGCTATGGACCAAGGGTATTTCACTAGCTCCAATGGTTTACTGTATGAATTCTTTTTGCTCCCTAAGCCAGTAGATGCATAACTTTAACAATTAGCAAGTGGCATACAAAAGCAACATTAATCTAGGTATGAAAAGAACGCGAAAACTTGTTAGTGAAGAACCGAAGTGGTTAACTGAACCTATATAAGTAATTCCAGAGCACTGAATTTGCTAGATAAATATTACGTAGTATCAGTGTAGAAGATGAAAATTGCCTTGACTACAGTAGGACCTAAAAACTGGCCTGTACACTTGACTCGCCTGCACGAGCCAAGTCCACTCAAGATTTGAGTCCGCCAGATGAAGGAAACTCGCCAGCACGAGTCAAGAACACGCCATCGCTGAACTCGCCTGCACGTACAAGCAGTCCGCCAGGCGATCAGAAATTCGCATGTACACTTGATTCGCCTACACGAATCAAGTCTGCTCAAGAGCTGAGCCCGCCTGCATGGCCAGGCGACTAACAAATTCGCCTGAGTACTAGGCAGCTACAATATCACGTACAGGGATAGGCCTTCACATTTCTCACGACGTGAAAGGTGGGAGCACAGTACTCCAGGCCCACCAAGCAGCCGCTCACAGTACGAGTGACCAGTCAAATCCACGCAACCGACAAACCCGTCTGTATACTTGACTCATTTGATCGCCAAGTGCGCCTGCATCACCAGACGATCAGAAGCTCGCCTGCATACTTGACTCACCTGCACAAGTCAAGTTCATCCAAGTGACTGAGATTCGCCTATTCGCTCAAGCAACCAGCCGGGCGATCAACAAACCCGTCAAACTCGCCAAAGTACCTAGCGGCTGTGTTGTCGCTTATAGGGATGGGTCTTCCCATTTCTCGCGACATGAAGGGAAGGAGTACAGTGCTCCGAGCCCATCAAGCAGCCGCTCACAGTACAAATGAGAGGCATGACATCTCTCAACAATACATGGTCACATCCCATGATTCAAGAGAGTGACCACACCGTCTCTCCTCTATTTAAGAACCTCTCCTGGCTACAGGAAGGAGGTTCGCGGTTCATTTATTAATTCAGTCAGTTAACCGGACCATTAGCTCTCGGCTCCCGATTGAGCTAAGGATCTGCTCCTTGTATTGATCTTGCACTGTAGCATCTCCCTCTAAACATCAAAACCGGGCGGTAAAGATCCATGTTGGGCATACGGGGAGAGAGTTGGCTCCGATACCAACAAGATTAAATGCAAATATTGCACTCAGACATTCAATGGCGGGATTACCAGATTCAAATCTCATTTAGCCGGAAAGAGAGGGAATTGCACACCGTGCATAAAAGTCCCTGATGATGTTAAAAGAAAAGTCTCTGAAATACTGGAGAATGCAAAGAAGAGCAAGGAGGATAAGGAGACAAAGATCCATAATTTGTTGAGTGAAGTGCATATAGGGGAGGAAGAGGAGGAGCATAACTCCTTGACTACTCGAAGCTCGTCATCCTCTTACAAGCCAGTAGGCCCAATAGACTCCTTTGCTGCTCGTTCTCCCGAAGAGACCGCCCAATTAGTAGCTAAGGGCAAACAACCATCGATGGACTCCAAGCTAAGAAAGAAGAAAATGGAAGATGTTATGCAATACATTTCCAAATGGTTCTTTGAAGCTGGCATTCCATTTCATACAGCCACACTTCCCTCTTTTCATCAAATGCTACAAGCCGTGGGGATGTTTGGAAGTCATTTACAAGCTCCATCAATGTACGAGTTGAGTGAGACTTGCTTGCAGAGAGAGGTGGATGCAACGAATGAGATTGTTGAGAACTTCAAGAAGACATGCATTGTCAATGGTTGTTCCCTGATGACTGATGCTTGGAGTGATCGAAAGTCTAGAAGTATCATGAACATAGTTGTACACTCTGCCGGGAGGGCAAGTTTTTTGTCTTCACATGATACATCGGCCGATAAGCATGATGCTGACTATATTTATGACTTTGTGGACAAGGTTATTGATGAGTTAGGGGAGGAAAATGTGGTGCAGATTGTCACTGATGGAGCTTCAAATAATATGACGGCCTCTAAGAAATTGGAGGAGAAGAGGAAAAACATATTTTGGACCACTTGCGCAGCGCACACCGTGAAGACAAGGTTATTGATGAGTTAGGGGAGGAAAATGTGGTGCAGATTGTCACTGATGGAGCTTCAAATAATATGACGGCCTCTAAGAAATTGGAGGAGAAGAGGAAAAACATATTTTGGACCACTTGCGCAGCGCACACCGTGAACTTGATGTTATGCGACATAGCCAAGTTCAAACCCATTCATAATGCCATTACAATGGGGAGGAGTGTATCGGTATTTATATATAATCATACCAAGCCTCTTCAATTGTTTAGAGAGTTTACTAAGGGTGATCTTGTGAGACCGGGGGTTACAAGATTTGCTACGACATTCCTCTCACTGCAATCATTAAGGGATCACAAGAAAGAGATGAGGCGGATGTTCATCTCTGATCAATGGATGGATTGTAGCCTTTCAAGAACAACGGGCAAAAAGGTATGTATTTAAACTTTAAAAATTAAAATTGATAGCTACAAAGTATTCCTTTCATCATTTATATTTCATTCATTCTTTAATTGTTTGTATTATTTGTAGGTTGCTGAGATAGTTGCTAGCAACAAGTTCTGGGACAATACAGACTTTGCCCTCAAAGTTTTCAATCCTTTAGTGAAAGTTCTCCGGAGAGCCGATGGTGATAAAGTCCCATCTATGGGATTTATATATGGAGATATGTTGGTGGCCTTAGAAGAGTTGAAAGTAGCCCTTGGAAATGATGAGAAAAAATATATTCCCATATTGAAAATGATTAAGCCAAGATTCAATAAGAAGCTTTGTGGTTCACTACATAAAGCGGGCTACTACTTTAATCCATATTTCTATTATCCGGCTTACACGGAAATTGAAAAAGATGGAACTTTCATGACATCCCTTGTAGATTGTATGCATAAAATCTTCCCAAATGACCATGCGACTTTCACAAAGATTGGAACTCAATTACCTAATTATCAAGAATGTATAGGGTCATTTGGAAATGAATATACGAAGCGAGGAGCTTCTAAGGGTGATTGTCCAGGTAACTTTATAATATTAAATTAATTCATTAACCTCTATTACAAATTTATAAGTTACTAATTTTTTCAAATATGAATTAACTAGTTACATGGTGGAGGCTTTATGGGAATGATACTCCCGAATTGAGAAAGATGGCAATGAGGATTTTGGCCTTGACAACTAGCTCTTCGGCATGTGAAAGAAATTGGAGCACATTTGAGATGGTAATAAACTAATAATGATTGAATTTAGATTATGTTGTAGCCTTGTAGGTTTATAGCATTTTGTGCTAATTCATGTTTTCACTTGTAGATTCATACTAAGAAGAGAAATAGATTATCTCACAAAAAGCTTCATGACCTCGTCTTTGTCAAATTCAATGCAAAATTGAAGAACAAACATGCTGTCATAGATAGAGATCCTTTGTGCGCCTATGATGATGATGAAATGGTCTCTGAATGGTTGATGGGTTCAAACGGGGATGATAGCGATGATGAAGTATTTCCGGGAGAATGTTTGACTTTTAGGCAAGTTGGTGACATTTCAGGAGCTAATCCAAGAAAGCGAAAAAGTGCACGAACGCAAACCTATAAAAGAAAGAAAATGTCGATATCATCTTCTTCGAAGGGGAAGGAGCCGGTGGAGGATGATGAGGAAGAAGATATTGAGACATCATCATCGGAGTCGAATGAGGAGGATATTCTTACTCTTGATTTTGATGAGGATTGATTATAGTCCTCTTAGTTTCAATGTTATTTTGGAATTACTTTTGGATAATTGGATGTTAAACAATTATGAGCTATTTGTAACTTTGAAAACTTGGTTGTATGCTTGCTTTGTTTATGTTTCTCTATGGATATGAATCTTGTGATTTTCATTCTATATATTATAATTTATATGTCACTTGCTTCATTCCTTATATGCTATTCTATGTTTACTAACAACATCTTCATATTTTGTAGGTCAAGCATTCGGATGGTGTCAATATGCACTCGGGAATCAGGTGTCTACAATTGGTTAGTGATCCTAACATCAATAATCATATGTTTAGACAATATAATTATCAAGTATGTGAAGATTCCATTTATGATATTATATCAACCTATCCGATATGGCAATCCGATATTTTTTCATGTCCCCCGATATATCCCGATTTCCGCTATCCGACATGAATTTTGGCCGACCGACATGAACCCGACATCCGACATTTAAAACATTGCTTGATATATACCCAAACATAACCAATAAACAAAAGCAAATGTAAAATATGCTACGCTACGTGTCAAGGATGATCTTGCTCAAAAATTGGCTAATGTGCTAAATCTGAAACAAGTGGAAATATGGCATGTACAAGTGAAGGCAGGGGTTTCTTGGATGTGGAATAGCTCTTAAGAATCTGCTAGCAAATGTGGGAGCATTGATACTTTGAAAAATCATCTTCAAGCTTGTTATAAAGATACAAAAAATCAAACTTTCTTCCCTTTACAAGCTGTTTTCCCCTGTATCTAATGTGGTTCTATGGACTAAAACTGGATAGGGGAATTTCAATTACCCCAAACACTTACTTACCCTATGGTTAGCACTTAGCAGTGCAAGGGAGTCTCTTGACCCAAGATAGAATGTCTAACTTTGGGATGCTTGCTAAAAACAAGTGTGTTCCTTGCAATATAGAACCAAAATGCCATCAGCATCTATTCTTCTCCTGTCAATTCCCTATGCAAATTTGGAACTCTATGATGGAGTGGATGAAATATAATTGGAGATCTTGTGAATGGAATTATTTGATCAGATGGTATAATGATAACTTGAGGGGAAACGGAAGCGTGCAAAGTATGAAGAGGTTGCTTCTTTCTGCTTCAGTCAAGGTTATTTGGACTGAGGAACAAAAGAATTCTTGCACAGCAACAGCTGACAAAAGAGCAGGTCATTAGGGATATTTAGGTGGTTTTGCTAATGATCACTCCAAATACCCCAAGGCTTTATAGATCCAATGATTGAATTATGAATTTGTAATGTTTGTTTTACACCGATTTTGATGTTTGATGTATCCCAGTGGGACTGAGTTATCTGGTTGTACGCTCAATTCCAAGTTTGGTGAATGAATTAAAAAAAATTCATTGACCCAAAAAAAAAGTTTTTAGCATGCTGAAAATATCAAATGTTTACTTCAGTTTCTGAAGCCCCTAACATATATTCCAATATGCTAATAATCTGAAGTTAGCATGACAATACTTATTATTAGTAGTTACTATCTAATTTTGCATACCCGTGTTACTTTGGTAACTGGATTTTTTGAATAATCGTAGAAATTAGATAATATGCTGCTATAACGTGCCTTCACCATTCGAATCCTACTCTTTTGACTTTTCTTCGTAGCTTTGCGCTTAGTATTTGATATATTAATACATTTCCACATAATTTCATCTAGCTGCTGATGAAATGAATTATTGTGTAGGTATTAGGTATAGTTCATCAATGCTTATAAAAATTCATCTCTCTGGATTACACGATCACCAAACTTGATTGTATTTATTGTACCTCTCAGCTCTCGCATAAACGACATATGACTTTTTCAATTTGGTCTTCTTGAGAACGTACACATGTATCTAAATGTGAAGAGATACGAGAGGCATCTATCGGATGCATAATACGACTACAAGCAAACGTATCAACACAGCCATGATCCAAAAACAAACGGCGCTACTTTTTCTTACCTGTTAACAGTTGCAGCTATAAATGTGCCATAACAATAAAAGTTCCATTCCCTATTTACCACAAAACTTAACTAGGGGACTATTTTAGCACACAAAGTTGACTCTTTTACGACAGTAAAATTTCAAAAAAGAGTATATACCTCGCCTCCGGTAAGAATTGTCGTCTCTTTAACTGGATTTTTCTTAGCAAATCGTGCAATCTTCCGAAGGAAAAGAAGAAGAACGCTTATGGGGTCCATCAAAGTACCCATCGATCAAGAACTCGCGACCTCCAGTGAAGGGAACCCATCTCTCTTCCTGCTTTCGTTAGAAACCCTAGGCAGCTGCAGCAGCCGATGTCGCCATCGAAATCGGCCAGCATCATACCCTGACATCTTTAACCAATTCGAGGGATCGACTGAAGAAAATGGAAAGCAATGCGCTAGTGTTTAGGATTTTTTTTTAAGGGTTTTTCCCCCCAAAATTTGGTATTTCTTGCAAGTTCGAAACGTTGGGAGATGAACAGTTCAAGTTGCCTTTTTTATTTGCCGGATTGTTGTCTTTTTGAGCGAAAGAAGAGTTGGTGAATGATTGGTGGGCCCTGGCCCACTGTAACTAGGTTGGGCTGGCTATACAAATCAACATTATTTTTATGAACAATTTTTCAAAACAGCTCTATTATATTTTTTTATTTTTAAAATCGACCGATTTTTTTTTATTTATCAAAACCGATCCGTTTTTTGCCACGTCAGCCTAATCACCCTCCTTAATAGTCGGGGTTGCCAACCCCGACTATTTAAGAATGCGTTAAACCCTAAATAGAAGCATTAAACCCTAAAAATTTATGTCCTAAATAGTCGGGGTTGGCAACCCCGACTATTTAGGACGGTGATTAGGCTGACGTGGTAAAAAACGGGTCGGTTTTGATAAATAAAAAAAAATTAATCGATTTTAAAAATAAAAAAAATAAAATGGAGCTGTTTTGAAAAATTATTCTTATTTTTATTTATATCCGTTTTATGATTCTAATAGAACTTTTTAAGATACTTTAAATTAGTTCTTCAGACCACCGGTATTTCCATTAGATTGCTCAGTTCAACAATTTACAAGAAGCGGGGGACCAATTTGCAATTTCATTGATTTTGGGGGCCTAATTTTGAGACAACTTTGAAATTATTAAGAACCGGAGGAACTAATAATAATTTCAATGATTTGTGGGGCTGGTTCCAAGGTATTACATGCCCTCTTTTTTCTTTTTTTTAAGTCACTTATTAGCTCCTTTGTCTTTTTTAGTATCGCCCTTCGCATTAAAATCAGGACAAAATAATAGAAGAAATTCTCAAAAAAGACCCAATCTAATTTTTTTTAAAAATTTGACCCACTCTAGTTTTTATTACAAAAATTGACCCAGTTTCTAACCACGTCAGCATCGTGCCTAGTAACTAGGTCGATTTAAAAAAAATCAATTTCCTAATTAGTCGAGGTTGGCAACCCTGACTAACCACTTGTCAGATTAGAACACCTAAACAAGTCTGGGTTTCAAAACCCGACTAATTTGGTCGGGGGGTCAAGGTTGGGAACCCCGACCAAATTAGTCCGGTTTCTCACCCCCGACTTGTTTAGTTGTCCTAATCTGGCAAGTGGGGACGGTAGTCTTAATTAGTCGGGGTTGCCAACCTCCACTGTTGATATTAAGTGATCGCACAGTTAGTATGTATCCATGATTGTATGAGTTTGTTGAGGATTGATGAGGGGCTGCTTTCTTCTCCAAATTTATGTCTGGTTCTTGAGCTCGGTGCCTGAAAAATCTGCACATGTTGAAATTCGTTAGAGGACAGGGCTTGGTTCCCCCGTTGTACCTCCGACGATCAAGTTAGCTGAAGAACTTGAGTGGGGTAAATAAGAATTGTGAGAATTCTTGTTTATGCGCAGTATAATTTTGCAGATATCTCTCGAGAGATCAGGTTTATGAACCCGTTTTTTAAGCTAGCTTTGGAATCCCCTTAAAGTTTGAATAGTACCTGTATATATACCATGGGTAGGAGGGTAGATTGTTCATTTCAGCCAAGCGCTGAGAGGCGGTGACGAAGCATGGGCTGGCATCGACGTCAGCACTTGCTTTACAGGTGTCGGCCGGTGATTGGGGAAAGATCACTTTAACATTAACTGAGAAGTGAGTGGTGGCAGGGTGGTGACCCACGTGATCCGATGAGTCACGAAGACTAACGAAGCTAGAGGCATGATGCCCCTACCAAGTATTAAATTTGTTGATGCTGACACGCTGTCAGAGAGAGAGAGACTCAATGTGAAACAATCCTTTAGCTTCGCCGAGAAGTAATGTCCATTGAGTTGTCCTCGTGAGACGTTGAACAAATGGTTGAGTGGACTCGTGGCGAGTCGTCTTCGACAATAGGAGGCGACTCGTGCCGCCTTTCGAGTTGACAAAAGGGGATATCGACTCAACGAGTCGGCTAAGTTGAAATTCCTGTTGGGTCTGGGCCGCCAAGTTGCTTGAGGCACTATATGCGGAAATACATTTGTCCAGTGTCTAGCAATGAATTGCACTTTGGCGAAAAATGGGAACATCATAACACCGACTAATTAGGAAGCTGATTTTTTTAAATCGCCCCAGCTTTTGGTAGTTTCTGGTCATGATGCTAACGTGACCAGAAGCTGAGTCGATTTCTGTAACAAAAACTAGAGTGTGTCGATTTTAAAAAAAATTGGGTTGGGTCTTTTTTGAAAATTTCTTCCAAAATAATATGGTTGTAGATTAAGATATTAGCATATTTTCAAATAGCAAAACAGTATCTTCATACTTCAACGTCAACAAACAATAAATCAAGGTTTTATATGTATTTTTCTTTCAATCCCATTTTTTTAGAGCTTTGCTACAGGGACCCAAAATATGGGACCAATAAAGGAGACAAGTGAGGTGTCCCCCTCCTATTGGATAATGAGTTAACCATCATTAATGATGACCAACTCATTATCCAATAGAAGAGGGACACCTTACTTGTCCCCTCTATTGGTCCCATATTTTGGGTCCTTAAAGAATTTTTCTTTTTTTTAATCTAGCCTTAATCGCGCCTTTGGTGCACAAGAGAATCTCAGACTCCCTACATGGAAGCGACACGGCTTTGCCATGTGACCTACTACGCCACCATATTTAATCCCTATTTTATAAATGAAGATATTATGCTTTCTATTCTTCATGTACAAGGACAGAAAAAATATGCATTATGAAAGAATTCATTCTCGACATCATAATTAATCTTTTCAGAGGATAAGAGATATTTGTAGATGACTAAGAATGTGTTCCCTTAAACTATTTTCTTATATGCAAGCTTATAATCATAACACGAAAAAGATAAAGTGAAAAATTCTGGCATCAGCACATTCAAAGCTCGATATAATGGCCTGTTTGGTTCGTTTCGTGGAAACCATTTTTTGGTGGTTTCAAGCTGGGAAAAAAAACAAAAATTCACGTTTGGAGCCCACTTTTCCATCATTTTCAGCTCATCTCCTCTCGAAACAATCCGAAACATATTTTCAGTTTTTGTAGGACCCGCTGTATTATTAGCATCTCTAGGTGTGGGCCTCATGTACGCTATATTCCTCTTTTTCTTTGTTTCAACAAAACCAAAGTGGAAAAAAAATGTGTCAAGATGAAATCATTTTCCTCTAACCCTGTTTTTTTTTCCTGAGATTGCTGCAAACCAAACAGCCCTCGCAAAGTCTTAACATACACACTTACTGTCATTATTTAGCTTCAGATATGGAAGCGCAAATCATCACAGAAAATGGGACACTAACCATATGAAATTTCTTTTAACAGGAAGTATGAACGTTATGTAATCTTCATATCGAAAGAGCTACCACGTAAATTGCTTATGAGAGAATTAAACAATAAAAGAGACTACGAACTTGGAAACCATATCTTTCATATCTGAAACTAGTTTTTGATTTTACAAGAAGGCAATGAGTCATAACCCAGCAATCTGGGATTTGGCAAAATATAATACATGGGAATAATTTACAACTTATGGACAACCTGACTAACTTCCTAACAGAAGAATCATGGGTCAAACTACTAAATTTACAATTGCTGCTGCAACCCTGCAGATGCTTGAATGCTGCACGCAAAGAATCACAAACACCAAAAAGATCATGTATGAGATTGGTGACTCGAAAGAACTGGCTTGCTGGAGCCTGATGGAGCGGCGACAAGTAGTATAGTTCCAAAGTGCTGTGATGGTATGAAATGGAAATTAAATTGGCTATAGATTCATGAGTGATCAAAATTCCTGTCCACAAGAATCCCAGCACTCAATAGATGAAATTACCTTTGAAATGCCTGCATGATCTTCCAAAATATCTGAACACGAACTGATCAAACTGAAAAGGCCAGAACTCAGCTGGGACTTACGTATCTCATAGCAAAGACACTTCTGCGATGTATCTGTCTATATTGAAGTTCGCACTGCATCAAACGGTAACTAATTACATACGTATAAAGTGATAGCTTTTATAAGAAATTTTAAGTCATAAAAATGTCCTATATGCAAACATCGAGTCCCAAGCATAAGCAGTGACGAAAGAAAGCTTAAACGAGAAGTACTCGATAATTGTACCCGGCACTGAGGGATAAATCTTGAAATAACCTGGGAAGATTCAGTGGATTAATCCTGAGATGTTGCTGAATATTCAAATAGAAGGCGATTAGATGGAGCAGATTGGAAAAGAACTCGGAGACGGTTTGTAAGCTGATAAATCAAGGACCACTGTGTGGCCATTTCTGAGTCTTTCATTTGCCTAACTACAGAGGCCTGAAACAAGCAAATAAAAAATAAGAAGCCAATTATTCATAAGGGACACTTTTTGTATCAAATCTATACATACAAATTTTCACCATAAGCACACAAAAATTTGAACTCTCTCATAACTGTTGACATTATTTCCTTGGAAGGTATTGCAGCAGCCAACATACTAGACACATAATAACACTAACATAAGCAAACTACCTGAAGGCGTTTCCCAAGCTGCACTTCAACCTCAGTACCAAAAGAAATATTGTTGGCTATCGATTTAAGAGGGTCAACTGTGGGGTCTGCAGAGAGTAAACTGGGAATCTGAGGGGCATACACTAGCCTCCACCGTGCCTGTCCAAATGCACCTTTCGATTCTATTCTTGGCATGAGGGATTCAAGCGTTGCAGTCGCAAGTTTCTTAAATGCCAGCTGGCCATCGCCTTCAAGCAGAGATTCAGCTAATTGATTCTCAAAAACCCTAGCAGCCTGCAAAAGTTGAACCTTAAGAACTATGCCTATGTTTAAGATTCACGTAAATGCATCATACAACAATGTGTGGGTATTTAACCATTTTGCATCATACAACAAGTCTATAACTACATAAGTTGGACGTTCACATAAACATGAGAACAGATGCATTAGTATAGGCTACTTACCAAACTGCATGTAAAAGATAAGACATAACATTGGAGCTAAAGGAATAAATGCAACTGCCATCTTTCACCTTTTTCTCGTTTTTCTGTCCAACGAGGGATGCCATTGCAGTTATGAGTAATATATAAAATCTATTCAAGATTCATCATCATGATTTACATTTACTGGAGCCAGAACAATAACAACAAAACTATCATGTCTTTTCCTATCAGAATGAAGTTGCAACAGAGTGCATAACTTCATTTCAAGAAGGCTGAGAAAAGTGGCTACACGAAATATTGATGAAATTTATTACCGATTGGTAAGCTAACATCAACATTTTACAGAACAAGGGAGGTCAACAAAATATCATAAGTTAATCAGAAAAATCAATTTATAGTTTCTGTAGTTTAATCTAATCAAAAAGAAAGGCAAGATCTGATGTACTCCGCATAGAGACAGCTGATAAATAATGCTGACTGTTAGTTATTTACCTCACTGGGTGAGAGAACATCCTGATCCACAGAGCGTGTTGAGGTCACAACTAGATTATCTTGCCAAGTACTAGCCCGACTTTGGATCCTGAATTGCCATTCAGATCCAACCAGTGCTAAATCTAGAATCGGATCTAAACCAAGATCTGGTTCAAACTTTGCTATATTTAAATGCTCTCGTTTAAGTCTCACCTGCAATTATAAACGAATATACACCAAATATCAAGTTATACCATTATCACAAAAAGATAAGAAAGGCTTTCACTGCAATAAGCATTTTTTCAGCCTCAACAAGTAAGCTAGAGCTTACCTGGGTGGCAACCAAGTTAATGTCTCCATTCTCAAATGTCAAAATTCCTCTAGGTTTAATCCACTTTGGATGAGCAATACCATTAAGCTCGAGTTCACCACTAACTGCAAAGTTAAGAATTAAAGGGTAAATTATCCTTAATTCTGGTCCAAGCAGTAGCTTCAGATCAGAAAGCTGAACATCAACTCCAGGTTTAGCATTCACTTGCTCCAATTTTGTTTCCACCTCGGATTTTCTTCCTGTAATTATAACATATGGAAAATGTTAGAATTACCAAGGCAAATTCTAATAAGAAAATAATTGATAATTAGTTATTTTGGGGATGAATTATAAGAGTAGCATACAAGTTCTACATTTTGAATGCTAAGAGCAGTAGACTGCAGGAATATTAAAAAAGAAAGAAAAAACTAACAATTAGGAAGATAGTTATATAAGATTCAAAATTACAATCATATTGTTACTTTGATTTTATGGCTACCTTAACATATTATGTGGACTCCCCAATGTGTTGACCTGTTGAAAGAAAATTACACTAATAAATTTCCGTGTCAGATGCATACTAGTCACATACTTCTTGCTCCTTGAAATATTAGACAAACTTTTTGCACTATTTTGTAATATAGCATAACTTCAGACAATCTCTTTCGACAATTGCAGATACTTCCTTAATAGACACACATATTCAGATGTATTGTTTCTTTGAAGTTGCATGTTTATTCTATAAAATTTTATATAATATAGCAACAACAACAACAACAACGAAGTCTTTATCCTAAACATTCCAGTTAGCTGCACGGATCATGTTCTTATGTTTAGTTTTGCTAAGGGTTATCTCCTCCGTCAAGTTAATTATTATCATAGCCTCCTTAAGTGCTTCCAACCAAGTCCTCCGAGGCCGACATCTAGACCTTCTTGTTACTAACTATAATATTATCCCTTCTTATTTTATAAAATATATTGCATAAAGGAATTGGACAATCTGCATAAAATGATATTAGAGAATAGTTGATCATGTACGCTTAATTAACAGAAGTCATCAAGAATGACAGGAAAACGACAACAAAACATTACCAATGTATGTATTGTCACTTATAAAAGCACAATTTAAAACAACTCCAGGGCAAGGCAATACAGACGAGAAATGGGCTGACCAATAATTCACATGGGGTACCTGAAGGTTGATGCCATTTGCTGTTAGCTGAAGAAGATGGTGATCCAAAGAAACGAGATGCATAACCTGATGTGCTCATTCGATTGTAACCAGCAGGAGGAAAGCTTGGCACATTTGATGCCAATGCATCAGCCGCAGCACCACTTCCCTTATCATGAGGCAGATATGCTTCACCATGGCTCAATTTAATCATTCCAGATATATTTGGTTGCAATATGGAGCCTGTGATCTGCATCTGACTGTCAACTTGGCCACTGGGATTCAAGTATTAGATGTCAGAAAAAAAACTTAACAAAACAGGAAAAAAAACAACAGAGTCGGATAAAAGTAGAACCAAGCATATGAGCTAATATGAGATAACAAAATTGTTTGAGTTTTCCTTCCACTTTTGGCTAGAATATTGCTCCCGGTTGCTGAGTGTGACAAAATTATAGTAAGGTAAATACAGAAAAATACCAAGATAAGATAGAAATCAGCAAAATAACCCTATCGCGTAACTACAAATTTAAATAATTATATAGAATACTTTTACTTTTAAAAGAAAAGCCACTCATATCTTGAGCAAAATAAAACTTTGGGGAAAAGTGTGAGATCTATAAACCACCTCAAAATGTTCTTTGCCCGTACTTCAAGAACTTCACACTTTATATCGATTTTATCACCATGAGATGACTCATCAGTCCTGAGAGGCAGATTTCCTTTAACCACTAGCTTCCCCTTCCTATCCACCCTGCTTTCCATGGAAGTTATGCATAGCCTATTCGACTTAACATTAACTGTACCCCCAAAATTTGTAAGAGGCTTCCGTAGAACAGGAGATGACACAGTGGCCCTGTGAAATATTGCAGATCCATCGAAAACTGGCTGCTCTACTGTGCCCCTAACCTGTTTCAAACAGACTGGTCAATAAAGGAATACCAAAAAAGAAGGGGGAAAATGAACTTAAAATGAGATGCCAAATTTTTTATATTCTATAGGCATTAGTAACCACTATCCAGGATTTGGTCTTTCGATAATATTTTTACTAGTCGTTTAATCTAATTAATGATTGGTTTTCTACAGTGGTCGTGATAAACAACAGGACTAATTCTTTCACAAATGTTCAGCTGGGAGGTAGACTCTAAGCTTAAGTGTTGGTAACTCCATGCAACCGTTTCCATCAAACCAAGACCGAAATGAGATAAGAATACTAAAGAACATGTCAAACTGAGATACCTGAAGATCAACGTCAGCATATCCATGAAGCCAATTGGCATATGGAGTTAAGGCTGTTAGCAATATCATTCCACCATCTTTAATATCCGCATTTATTCTTACCTCACCTGCATCTAAAAGGTTCCAATTCAGGCCCTTGAGACTTTCTGCTAACTGAATATCCCAACCCTCTTCAATTTTCTCCCTGAAAACTTTTTCTTCGTTACTTTCACGGACAAGTACTCTACCATTCTCTTTTGACCAAACTGGAATCTGCATTGCACCACCTAAACCTTCTCCTTTGTCAAATTCATCAACAGAGTCAACCTGACTGTAGGTGACAGGAACACTTCCCTGTATGTGTACATGACCACTTTGGATACCAGGCACAAAGTTAGCATTAAACAGAAATCGACTTGTTGGAGTTACCGAGGCAACTATCTCAGCTCGGCTAAGTTCAATTCCCCCAATAGCACCATCTAGGAGTCTTATCTGAACATCACACTCCGGTTTTCCAAGGCTTCCTCTGAGATCTCCTTCCATATGCAATATGCCCTTGATGGGAATAAGCAATTGACGCAATGGGTGAACAGTGTCTGTGGTTGAAGATTCTATTATCTGCACAAGAGTGGGAACCAGACCAATGGGGAAATTCAAGACAGCAAAGTGAAGATTTGATATTGGCCCAAGCAAGGTTCCATCAGCATGGAGAGTCGCATTGCCTTTTTGGATGAATAATTTCTCAAGGCGCAGGCCATTATTATTACTATAGGAGCCTGTTGCCAGGACCCGCTGAGTTCTGTAGCTACCCCACTCCCAATCTTCACCGAGAAAATCGAAGTCAGCCTGAAGAACGAATCCAACAGTTAGTGAATGAAGATGGATAGAACTGAAAAGAAAAATAAATGGGAGAGCAAGCACATAGCACATAGGATATTAAATTCTAGTTACCAGTGGTGCACGTAATAATCTACACTTCTCATTGGATTTACTTATAAACTATGTTACATGTATACTTCTAATCTGAAGCCGCACCTATACATCCGCACTCGTATCTGACACGTACCCATACCCGACATGTACCCGTACCCATACTCCTTGCATACATGCATACATTTATTCGGGCATGTACTCAATTATAAAATAAATGATTTAATTTAAAACACTTGTCATACATTTTGTGGATACATCCTACACATCCACTTCTTGAAACTCATTGGTTTTTGACTTATAATTTTGAAGGGTCGTTAAGATTCTAGTTCAAAAAATACTGATTTTCCAATTTATAATCCACAGAATAAAAGAAACATACAAATGTTATAGGAATTTTAATTCTCATCATTGTTCTCATGTAAATTATGTAAAACCCCGTGAATTTGAAAATATGGTGATAAATAATAATAAATGTGTTATATTGTGATAAATAACATTTATTGATGTTTGAGTATGCTAGAAATTGATTTGAGATCAATTCAATGTATATATGTGAATATAGGAGTGAAATCATGCGCTATATACACGAGCCTGAAATCTGAAAAAACGACCAGTTAAGAGTATACGTGTTTTACACACCGATGCAGTTCGAATCTAGAAAAACTCAAAAGACAAAAGTTATAGGTCCCTTCAATAGCTTTTCAACAACTCTTAAATCACCTCATTCCGAGGTCGGATGAGAAAGTTACAGTCAAAATACCGAAGGTGGTTTCCCAGTCATACTAGGTTTTCTGGTTCGGGTCAAACGGGTTTGTTTCGGATTTGCCTCTATAAATACCTGTGTTTTTCACGAAAATTCTTCTCTTTTATGATATTTCTAAATCCTAGCAGCCACCCTCTCCCCTCAAAAATCCTAGAGTAATTTCTTGTGAGTTTTGTGAGTTTTTTAAAGCAAAATATCGACACGAGGGCGAGATCATCGACGTGTGGCAAAGGAGAACGGATTGTTTGCACTTTTGGATTGCTTGTTGTTCGTTTCAGAGACTTGCACACGATATTAAGGCAAGATTATCTGCATCCAATCCCACCCCCTAGTTAGATAATGAATTTAAGATGTTTTAATTGTTGTTTACATGTTAGATCTTAACATGAGGTGTTAAAAATATGATTTTTGATGTCAGATCTTAATCTCATGCTAATTTCATGTTTAATATTTACTGTTTATGATAGTTCATGATCATGATCTTTAGGGTATCTTCTAATTTCGTTTTAATTGATTAATCTTGTTTAACTCATGCTAAAAACATAGATTTTGTAATTAATTAAGTTTATCATGTTAATTAACTGTGCTTAACCCCTAGGTTTGCGGGATCTTAATGACATGAATATATTTAAGCAAGTCTATAACTGTTTAAGTTAATTTACATATCATGATGATCATGAAAAAAGTTCATGTTTAAATTCAAGAATTTGAATAATAACCTAATTTAGTTATTTGCAATAGTTTAATTATTGTGAAATAATCACTGTTAATCAGATATGCAAGTTTTAATCCTGTTATATACTTTTTGTTGCAAATATTAAGTTTTTTGTTATATACTTTTTGTTGCAAATATTAAGTTTTTTGAGTATATTACAGAAGTGCAAAATAGCAAAAACCTAAAAATCTAAGAGTCAGGTTTTCCCTCTGGCCGGTCGACTGGATCCATAGGTGCGGTCGACCGGAAAGTCCCTGTTTGTGCATTTGGTGCATGCATGCAGTCCAGTCGATCGATGCCTTATGTGTGGTCGACCAGTTTGTTCCTGACTTGTTTCATGAGTGTCGTTTTGCATTATTTGACTATGTTCGCGGGGTTTGAGTCGTGCTTCCCAGTATGTACAGTCACGAATACACACGTATAGTGTCGTTGCACACACATGAGTATCCCAAGGGGGATTTTGACAAGCGTTGAGCTGATTACAATTGAGTTAGGATTGTTTATTAACATGTTGTATATCGTTGATGAGCATAGCTCGGTACTATTTAGGATAGTGCGTCGATGTACCAGATATATACAGTTTATACAAAGATAGATACCGTTGATGAGCTCAGTTCAATACTATATGAGGTATGTAGGCTGTCTAAAAATCACAATGAATAGCTGACCCCTATCAAGCTCCGACAAGGGAAGTCACAATCAGACGACTTTCTAATCATTGCATCCGCAACTCCACAATCGCCATAAACACGACCTCATTTCTGAGATGATTGATCTTGATGGCTGCGACAACAGCATGACTAATATTATATTAGCAATTATTGGAGATGCTGATGAGCAGTGTAATGATTTTAGAAATAAAAGGTTGGACTTAGTTGGTGAGTTGCTTGATAGAGAGCTGTGGGCAAATATTCATCTTCAAAACACTACGGATGTTGATTTCCGTCAAGCTCTCACAATGAAAGCTACAATCAAATAGCTTTCGGGTCGACAATTGAAAGCCGCAAATAGAGGACTTTTCACATAAGATCGAGAAGAGTTACAATTCAACGACACTTCCAACAACTGATGAAAACTCTATTCAGCAGTCTTCACATTCTACAGTGAAAGTTATAATCTGACGACTTTCATACCCTACAACAGCTAAAGCCAGGATTACTGAACAACGGTCCTCGCAACGCTTCACAGAAGAAGTTACAAGTCAAAAAGCTCCTTCTGAAACGTTTCCAAGCCACCCCCGCGTCTCCAAGCTACAAGCTAAACGTGAGCGACCCTCGCGTTCGTAGGGGTTCAGCCAACACCGACCCCCGCGTTTTTAAGCCACAACAAACCAAAACGCGAGCGACCCTCGCGTTCAATGATGTTCAGCTAACACCCAACATCGCGTCTCAATTCTAAGAGGCGAAGTTGGGTGCTAAACGCCAGATTGGACGTTTGACTCGTTCAAACATGAGTCGAACGGTTTCAGAACCGTTTATCCCACGTTCTGAGGGACTTTCGCCCACGTAGGAGCGGATATAGGGGTCAGTTATAACCTTCTATCGCCCTATAAAAGCTCAACGAACCCAACAGAGCAAAAGGGGGGTTGGATGTTTTAGCATCTGAACCACAGAGGTTGGATTAAAAAGATCTAAACCGTACAGGTTGGAGATTCGGCAGCAGCGTAATCCTGGGAGATAGGATTTTTTGAATCACACTCAGAAGATCAAATCTAGGAGGATTCTTCTACAACAGAATAACAGCTTGATCATTAACCGAATTTTTTGGTTCTAACAACTCTATTCACAGAGTTCAAACTCGTTCAGAGTTCTTAAACTCATTCAGAGTTATTTATCAAATTTTCCACAGAAGTTCATCGTTCCCACGAGATAGAGACGGTCGGATCGTCAACGGAGAGCAAATTCGACGTGAGCAATCGAAGGAGGCATTCCATCGCTACCGAGAAGAACCCAGTTTTAAACAAAGGAGAGAACCAAATTCGTTTCTCTTCTCTTTTGTAATCAAGTTGTAATCAGAATCAAAGAAATACAAATCAATTTTTTTTATTCTTTTCATTGTAATTTTTCCTACATACAAAAGATGACGACTCTGCTGGGGACTAGCTTCTCTAACGAGAAAGTGGTGGCGCAATCTGACGTTCACCTCACTGGGACCACCGTCGAAACTCTCGTCGTAGAGTTCGACCAAGCCAAGTATGAGGAGGCCCTCTCCTCTGGGTCGCTTAGCCCAAAAGCTAGGCGTGATACTCACAAGACCTCGAAGAAGGTCAATTCTGTGGTCGAAGTGTCAAAGAAAGCCCTCTCCTTCGGCCAAGAACTCAAATTGGCTCTGCTGGCGGAAGATCCCACATATGCGTCAGCAAGACGTTCTTCAGGCCACAAACGGCCTTTGGAGGATACGAGTCCCATAAGCGTCAACAACGCTGCTGCTAAGGCTTTGAAACAAGCCAAGAAGAACGCCGTTCGCCGACGAAGAAGATCCATACGACGAGCACATCTACGTGAAAGCCGATTGTTGGCCCAACGCGAAGATCGCGTTTCTGAGAACCCAACCGAGCCTAGCGTTCCCAAAGGAGAACGCTCACTTCGCGGCAATGAGCCCAACTATGAGCCTCGGCTCATACAGCTAAAACGCGACCCCGAATGGCGCGTTGTTTCTTCAAAACATAGCTCTCAGAGGGGAGTTGCTAAAACCAAACGTGATCCCCAGGGGCGCGTTCCAATAGAACATGACTCTCAGGAGTCTGTTTCACCAATTAAACGCGACCCTCAGGGGAGCGTTCAACCTAAATGCGATCCTCAGGGGAGCGTTCAAACTAAACGCGACCCTCAGGGGAGCGTTCAACATAAACGCGACCCTTAAGGGAGCGTTCAACCTAAACGCGACCCTCAGGGGCGCGTTCAACCTAAACATGACCCTCAGGGGTCAGTTTCATCATTTAAACATAGGCATTGGCCTAATGTTTTCAAAGCTAAGCGCGACCCTCGCGTTGTCCTTCAAGAACGCGATTTTCAAGAGGTCCGTTAGGTTCAGAAGAATCAGCGTGGTTTCAGAATCCACGTTCAACGAGAACCAACCTCACCTACCCAAGGGCAGGGGGTTCCATCTCCGTCTCCAAGCCCGGGGAAGGTTTCCTCCCAAGTTTCAGACCTGCGGGAATTGTTGTCAAGAGAAAAACCAATAATACAAGCAGCTCACTCATGTCAATGTGAGAGGCTGATTTCAGCAGTCCTGTCAGAATGCCCTTGTTGTGCACCCACACCACGACAGTCCGTATTCGACAGGTTGACGAACGTCGTTAGGCCTGCCAAACGACAACGCCGCTGCAGAAAGAAGACAGCTGAAGCGGAATACCCTCAGGTCACTATCAATATGATCGGCCGAGGGAAAGCTTCGCATACTGACTCCGATGAGTCGCAAGAGAGTCATCCCCCG